GGAAGGCTTGATAGCCAATATGGCAAGCATGGCCCCTTGTTCTTCTTTATGATTAGATATCTTGGCTAATCTTGGCCCTTCACCTGCCTTATACATTTTTGAAGCAACTTTTCAAGTTCTATGAGAAACTTGCAATTTTGACTGGAATTGCACTGAATCCTTAGGTCAGCTAGGAAATACTGATACTTTATAATACTGAGTTTTGCAGTCAGAGCTGGAGTGAGAGCTGTCCTGGACTTTCACAGGCCTCGTGTTCAGAGCTGAGTCTTAGACTCCAGCTCCTATATCACTGGGTTTCCTGCAGCAACCTGTGGGCCTAGCACAGCTGCAGGAATCAGAGCTCATCAAATGGCAAAGATGGAAAGTCCTTCAGAGGATTCATGGGTGCCTGGGTGCCCAAGGCATCTCCATCCGTGGTCCAGTCACCTCTTCTATATTGAGCAGCCATTATTGAGAATGAGAGATGGACCCAGCTCCACTGCTGAGTCTTCCAAATCTCCCTTGGAAATTCTAGACAATCCCAGGCAACCCCATCCTCCCTGTGTTCCTCACCCATGATTAGCTCAGGCACAAGCACATGACCCATCTTGGGTCAGAGGAAGGTAACTGCTGGGAACTTCTAGGGGGAATTTTACTTGCTCTTCAGAGAGAGGCAAAGGAAAGAAGGACAGTCTCTCCTGTGCTGCATGTTGAAGCTGTGGTATGGCCTCTGGAACTGCCACCTGTCTGGAGTGAAGCGAACACACTGCAAAGGGCAGCACCAAGGATCAACCAAGCTCCAGCAACACTGGGTTACCCCACAGCCTCCTCGACTCACTGGGCTTCTACTTAGTGGGCCCCTGCCCTAGTGGTTTGCCAGACAGAGTCAGGTTTTCTGTTCATGCCATCTGACAGTACCCCCTCTGACAATCCCCAAAAGAGAACCCCAAATTCCCTCTGAGAAACCCCCTACCCCACTCTCAGCCCATGTACCTGGTGGAAGACCCCAAGCTCAAGGAGTGGTGCCCATGACCTTGGCTAAGCCGGGGGCATATTTCCAATTCATAAAAGTCCTGGAGGGGAACCGAATGCAGCCTCTCCCAGGTCAATATGTACAAATCTTGCAGCAATGGAGGTTGTTTTTATGCCACAGTCTTTGGACTTTCCTTTGAGTTCTGATACAAGAAGATCCTTCCATTTCTCTAGCTGGCCTGAGCCTGGTACATTAGGGGGTGGTGTGTGCCACACCCCAGAAAAGGGTGAGCAAGTACAGCACAGTCTCTCCAGCACCCATGACTACTGTTTATGACCTCACAAGCCTGCTCAGTCTCTCCCCTTTCACTCTGCCCCACATCCCAGCCCTGGGCAATCAAGCACTTAGCCTCCCCAGCGTGTGCCTGGGTCATCAGGTGGCCCTTCAGTCCTCTTCATCAGTCAACAGCAGCACTCTCACAGCACAGGCACAGTCTGAATTATGGTAGTTGTAAAAAAAATGTTCCAGGAACTCTCTCTGGTGTCCTGAAGGACAATCATCAAATTATTTTCCAATCAGACTCAGTAGAAGGAAGAACACAGTTTAGTCATCTGATCCCACAAGTCAGGTTAGTTTTCACATACACATTTGCCTCAACTCATGCTTGGCACAGACCACAGATACAAAGAAATCAGAGAGGCTGCACTCACCAAAGATGAGTTAGACCTGTAACTGTAAACACACACATGTACACACATTTGCTATCTGCTTTAACATGCTGAATCATGAATCACGTCAGTAAGAGGTTATGTTATTGGACATGTAACACACATTTTCTGTTTCTGAATAAAGAATAATAATATTTTGCTGAGGGCCTGGGTTATATTTGACTAAATGTTATTATTTCCAAGATGTTAATTAAGCCAAGTGTAGTCTTCATTATACTGTACACCCCAATTATTAGGAAGACTGATTTTGTTCCTTTGAATGATTAATCACTCCGGCACAATTTAACTGCATAGAAGGTATTGATAATGGCTTTGTGCTTCACCTACTGGGAATCCTGTAACTTGTGGGACAAGAGTGCAATTCACAGGAGACGGAAGGCTTTTGAGCAATATGAGCACATTCTGCGGAGGCAAAGGACAAATCCACAACTTGGACGTCACCCTGGGCAGTCACACAGCTGGCTGTTCACAATATTAGCCAGGAGCCTCATTCTTGAAAAGCACTTGGGGTTGCATACTTTTTAAATAAGTTTATATGCTTGTGGTTATTTTTGACTTGTTTGGATACAGACTGGGACAGGGTGTGACTGGTGCACTGAGACTTTGTGAGCCTGGCTTCCTAGCCTGGGTGTTGCCTAGCACCTCTGCACTCCCATCTTCCCTGCCCTCCATGTCCCCTGGAAGGCCAGCTGCCCAAAGAACCTAGCTCACTGGAGCTTGCTGACCTCCAAGTGGTTGAAATGCACATATCCATCTGCCTCCTCAACATCCTTACTTTATGTGAGCACGAGTCTCTGGGAAAGGCAGGACTGTTTAGGGAAGCTGGGTTAGGGTCAGTGTCTTCTGCTTCTCAAGACTGTTGTATTTTGGAACGTCTGCCAAGGAGATGTCAATGAGTCAACAAACACTTTCTTAAAAATGTAAGTGCTTCAGGGAGGAGTGAGGGCCCATCAGCCTTTCCCATCTTTGTGGATTCCATTCAGTTAGGTGCTCACCTAGCACCTCCTCTCATTTTGATTTCTCACCCAGATGTGAGATGTGAGGGGAGGCGGTGAGGGGCATGGCAGTGATTGGGGCAACAGGAGGGAAGAAGGGCTCCAGACAAAGGAAGAGGGAGAGGCCACAGGGAGCAGGTACAGAGGGCCCCATGCCCAAGCTTAGCATGACTGAAGTTTCTCCTGAGGATCACCCCATGCCTGGAGGTAGGACAGAGGCTCTCTCCCTCTCCACCCTCCCAATCCATGGGCTCCGGGCCCCAAAGACCAGCCCAGCATCATCACGTGTTAAATAGATTTTTGTGCACTGGTCCCTATAAAACATTTTCTGGGGCAAGTTCTGAACAATCCATGTTCAGATGGATGTGATGGACCCCACTCACCTGTTACCTGGAGATTACTGCTCCTAGCAGTGTTGCGGGTGGGGATGGCTGTTAGTGGGTTCCAGTGAAACCTCCCTCCCAGCGTTATGTCCCTGAGCACCCTCCACTTTGATTCTCGGCTCCGCCATATGACTTCGCTTGATCAGTTTCCTTAGCAGAGGGATTTGTCGTCTTGGAGCATGCTGTAGCCAGAGAATCCTGGTCTCTTACTGCAGAGTACACAGGAGAGAACCAAGGAGCCCTGGTTGACAACTAGCACACATGTGAGTGAGGCCATTTCAGACCCACAAGCCCCAGCTGAGCTGCCAGATGACCACAGCCACATGAACGACACAGGCAACCCCAGCAGAAGAACCACCCATATCGCAGAATCACGAGCAAACAGATGATTGTTATTTTAATCCACTAAGTTTTGGGGTGATTTGTTACTCAGCCATACTACTGAAAGACCAGACATATCGGTGTGAGTTGTGTATTGACTGTTGCTGTTTCATTAGAGTCCATAGGGGTAACCAAACAACATGGAGAAACAGGATGTGCTTGATAATTGTTACACATGTGGCATGGGCCCCGCACTTCACTTGGAAGTTTTGAGTAGTTTTATAAAGCTCGTGACACAGCTGAAAGTACCATAGAAGGACAGCTCTGCACGTCAAGGCTGGCCTCAGCGTTCAAGTGCACGCACTGTTTTGTGATTAAAGTGTTTCCTTTGGACAGAGAAAACATAACGAGTGCTCCAAGCAGACCATTGTCTACTGGGACATGACGCTGACCATGCACAGCTTCTACATGAGGTCAGAGGATTTCATCTTACCTCACAATGGGAGGCTGTCTTTTCTGGTTTATTGAGTGTTGGTGAATATTTTTGCGTTTGTTTTCTCCCATTTGTCAGGCTGCAGGGCCTTCGGTGATGTCTCAGTGTTTTGGGTCCAAGGGTCCAAGGTGGAGACTTCTCACGCACAAAACGACACCATCAACAACCAACGGATCTGATGCTGTGTGAAGTGAGCATGATGGCTTCCCTCCTACTCCCTGTATGCGCAGGTCACACAGTTTCTGGTAAGTGGTGGTGGTAGAAAAGGTGGTGTCAGAAGGGTCCTCCCATAGGGCTCTGCACTGGCAGGCCCCCTGGCCCTTCTGCGCCTTAGTTCTGTGGTTTCTTCATCTGCTCATTCACTTGTTCATACATACAACAGACATTCATTAAGCACTTACTGTGTGCCTGGTTCTGGGTGACAGTGGTGAGCAGGTCAGATGGTGGAGGCATACTTGATGACATCTGAAGTCCATTTCAGCTCCTAAACAATGAGTTCTGTGTTCAAAGCTACAGGAGTAAGTGGAACTACTGCCTAAGCCTCGACCGTTCTGAATCCTGTAGGGAAGGAGAAGCAGCAGCCCATGAGACTCGCAAACCTCTCTCCTTTGGCTCTGCTGTGAGACTGAGGCCCCAGGCACCCTGTGTCTCAAGGCTGTACCTCTCTCTGGATCTTCCATCCATGGCATCCTCACGCCTTCCTCTCAGACAGGATACCTTTCCTCCTGCACATAGTCTCCACAGAGGACCCACTTATCCTGTACCTAAGACACTGGGTACAGGCTGAGCCTCTTTCAGGGGTCCAGAATGAAGGGCCACATATCCCTTCTCCATGTCAGCATGTCCCTGTGCTGTGAGAACCGTGCGTCTGGATGGCCCTGATCTCAAACAGATTGTTTGACACTGATCCTCAGCCCTGAGCTTGGAAATGTGGTTGCCAAACCACAGGGCTCTGAGGCCCCTTCCAGGCAAATTTCGGGACGTCCAGGGGATTGTATGCTCATGGTGTCCCTTTCCTCTTAATGGTTTTGTGACTCAGAAGTTACTTTTTAAGCAAAGAGAATTCTGTATGCTTCTTGAGTATAAAGGGCACAGAACGAAATAAAGGCAAAAAACATCTTTGGGATCCAGAGAATAAGCTTTCAGATATGTGAGTTCATACACATAGAAAAAAGTTAAAACCAAGCAATATGAAAGTTTAAGATCCTTCAATTCCAGGGAAAATGTCAGTAGTTAAGGCCCCAGATCACCTCGGCACACATGGGGTGCAAAGTGTGACACTGCTTTTCTAAGTCAGAATTTGGAGGAAAACGTGCTTCCTTTTGGGCATGGAGTCCTGGGTGCCATGGTGCTGGGAACTGTGGTTTGGTAACACTGCTGTCAGGAAAATGGGAAACATTGGGTTTGAACAAAATTATAGAAGACGGGGTTAGTCCAAGGACTCTGAAATTGATACTTGTTTATAGAAGGTGGAAGTTCAAGGCTTGAATCAGGAATCTATTTACTTTGGTTTCAGATATAAGTCTAACAAATTTGATCTTCTGATTTTCTAACCTATAACAGATGGAGAACAAAAAATTGGAAAGGGATGTGAGCTCAGGGCCCCCAGAGAAGGGAGGCTGAGAGCCCAGAAGTGAGGATTGACAGTGTCACAATGAGAAAGGGGTGGAAAACCCAGAAGAAGCTTTGTGTGTGTGGGGAGCTTCAGATGCAGCTCCATGGGGCAGCTGGGTTCAGGGAAACTGCTCTGCATTCCCGCTGAGCCCTGAGGCATCCCTGCCACGTGAGGACCTGTATCAGCAGACACTGCTGAGGCGCATCTGCTCCTCGGTGGGTCACAGTCCTGCGGGGGTGACTTCCATTGGAATCTGCATTTAAGGAAGGAAGTTATGGTTATCTGAAGAATCCACATGCCTGGAGGTCCTTGTCCCCCCACAACACCTGGCAAATGAGCAGTGCTTGTGCGGTAACCTGCACATGGGCCACGAAGTGGTGCCAGGAGGGGAGAGCACATGGGGATCAGAGCAGAGCAGCAGAGGGCGCCAAGTTAAAAACACCTATGACCAATTCAAGCTCTGGGCGTCCAAGGCTAATTACATGCAGGTGTCCAGGTGGTTCAGTGACGGTCCAGGAGACCAAGGGGGAACAGATGGCAGCTGGAGGGCCCACAGGTTATAACCAGGGTCCTCCCAGGGGTAAGGCCATTCCTGCCATCACCACTGGCCTCACTTGACCAACACTGACAGCGACCTGCTACCTTTGCAAAATCCCTCCATGTGTCCCCACAACAACTCTGTGCCCAGGCCTGGCTTGGCCGCTGATCCCCTCCTACGCTGGCCAGCTGGGCTGAAGCCCTATCCCATCAAGATTTGCCGGCAGCTCTGCACTTGATCAGTGAGGTGGAGTGCCCCTCCCTGCTGCCCCCAGGTGCCCGTGGCCCCACTTGCCAACACCTACCTGGAGCTGGAGGTCATGGCTGCTCTGCATGGATGCAGGTGGCCAGGCAGGGTCAGGAGGGCAGTGAGGCAGGGTGGTGCTGGGTTGCCCCTGCAGTCTGCTCACAGCACTTGGGGCTGGGATAGCCAGTCTGTCCTTGCTCTGCCTTGTGGGCTCAGCTGGGCTGTCGCTGTGGCTGCTGCCAGTGCCTGGAGAGCTGTCCTTGGAGTCAGGGGTGGGAAAGGGGCTAAGCTGTGGGGCCTCTGGAATGGCGTCTCTTAGGCGGCCACCTGGGTGCTGGACACTTGGCGCCCGTCCTCTCACCCACCTGTAAGTTTCCTGGGTCTGCAGCCCCATCGGTACCTACCGCTCTTGCTTGGCAGCTGGGCTGGGGTCTGCACCATAAGAGCCTGGTATAACCAAGGGTTCCTGTAGAAGCGCCCGGGGAGGACAGGCAGGGCTCCCTGTGAGCTGGCTTCCCCTCAGGGAGTGGGGTGGGTGCTCTCGACTCCCAGGTGTGTCCTCTGGTGTACCCGGTGCCCCTTGCACAGATGGGGGCCGACCCCTGCACAAACTGGGAGGAAGGTCACGGGCTGGCCCTTCCCATGAAAGACAGGGGTCAGCCACAGTTGAACACGGGTGGCTGAAGGAGTCAGGATGGGTCTGCCCTGCTCCCTGCCCTGACCCCCACTCCATGGGGACCACTACTGGCTGGCCCTGGATGGGGGAATCCCAAATGCTGACAAAGTGACGAGTGCCACATGGGTTGACACAGGAGGTGGGGTCTGAGGTGATCAAAGGCCTCTGACACTGACCGCCGTGTCTGAGTGTCCAGGGCATGGATTCTTTGCAAAAATCTAGAACACCAGGGCCTGGCTGAGCCAGGTGTCCAGGGACATTTTCTTCCAAAGAGAGTGAAGGTGTGTGGTTTGGCGGAAACACCTGAGCAGGCTGGCTGGGACTCGAGGCCTTAGGCAGTGGGCCGAGGTAAAATATTGCTGGATTCTGGCATATCTCCAAATCCACAGGTGCTGCCTGGCTGTGCTGAAGCTGCCTCTGTGGGGGGGCTCTGGAGTGTGGGGCCAGAGATGGGAAAATGCTGAGGATGTGCTTGAAGGTAGCTGGGCACTGTGCTTGTGTCCTGAGGGGAAGTTACTTCCCTGGCTGGCTGCGCTCGGCCCAGAGAAGACTGTGGCCTCAGGGTCTGTGGAGCAGTTGTGCCGGCGAGTGAGGGCAAGCCCACATCCCCTCTGCCAAGAAAAAATGCCTCCTTCTTGCTATGGGGGCCCCTTCTCTGGCTGGGAGGCAGCAGGCAGCAGTTCTGAGGCCCTGCAGAGTCTGAGTCAGCCCTGAGAAGGTCCTCTTCCCACAGATGCTGGTCAAGGTCGGCGACCCCCAGGTGCTGGAGAGTGGAGCAGAGATCGGGCTGTTCTTCCATGTCCTTCTCCAGCAGGGTCTCGATGAGGGTCAAGAGGGAGCTGTCTTCCTCTTGCTCTTTCTCCTCCTTGTCCTCACATCTGTCATGAGACCCCCACCTCTCCAAGGGTGAGCCTTGAGGGGTGGGAGTGATGCAGGACAAGTACATGGGTTCATCTTGCTGCATCGTGGCTCCAAGGAGAGAGCCCTGGTACACAGGGCCCTGGCCAGTGGCAGGGCCATTCCTTGCCTTGGTCCTATTCCTGGCTGGGAGAGTGGTCAGGGGGCCTGAGGGGCTGCTCTCATACAGGATGGCCTCCCCTGTGGTGAAGGTGAATGGCAGCTGCGGGCCCGCTTGTGCAGGTGGTCCTCCCCCTCCGCATTCCTGAGGTTAAGGAAACACAAGACCAAATGTGACGATGGGGATATGAACAAGAAAGGGGTCTCCTGGCCAGCGGACAGTAGTGGCCAAGTTACCGAACAAGTGAGCAAGGGGGCAGGACATCATCTGTTCTGGTTTTTCCATCCAAGGAAGAACAAGCCATAAGATTGAATTTGCTTCTTGTATCTTTTGGAGAATGAAATCTTGGTCAATGCTTTCTATCTTGGATTCTGTAATAGTCTCAGAGGAAACTGCTTATTTGTGGGATGAGTATTCCAAAAATCCATGTAGAAATTCCCTAAACTTCAAGTTTATTTCGAAAAGAAAAAATCATTACACAAATATGACATATGCAACCGCTTTTCACTGGGGAAGACAATTTCTCCCTTCCATCCTCTTCTTCCCTTCCAAAAGACATATGGGACATGGCTGCTGTAGGGCTGCTGCCACAGTCACGTGAGACCAGGCTCAGCAAGGGGATAACCTTCCGTCTCTGGCCTGACTTCACTTGGAATCCCACATTTGGTTTGGAGCCCCACAAAGGAAAACTGACTGAACCAAAATAGAGTGTCTTTGGCAGAAGCTGACCAGGACGGTGTGGGCACAGGAAACCCTATCACTAGAGGGACCTTTAGAGAAGTTGGTATCTCACCCAAAGATCTCTGATCATACCCTTTGTCTTTAAGACTATTTTGATATTAATACAGCCACTCTGGCTTTCTTATGCTTACTGTTTGTATTATATATCTTTTTTACATCAGATTACTTTCAACCTGTTTGTGTCATTATTTTAAAATGTATCTCTTGTAGAAGGCATACTGTTGACTGCTGCTTTCTTATCCATTCTGACAATCTGTATCTTTTAATTGGAGCATTTTATTCATTAACATTTAATGGAATTATTGATATGGCTGGATTTGGGTCTTCTATATTACTATTCACTTTCTGTTTGTCCCCTCTGTTTTTCTGTTTCTCTGTTCATCCCTTTCTTGCCTAGATACATGCATTTTTTAAAGAAATTTATTTTAATTTACATACTGGATTTTTTGCTGTATCTTTTGCATTTTTTTAATGGTTGCTCTAGGAATTACAATATACACTCTTAACATTTCAACGTCTACTTACAATTAGTACTGTGCCACTCTTACATAAAACATAAGCACCTTGCAACTGTATAGTCTATGTACTGCCAATAACCATCCTTTATACTAGAGTTGTCATATATATCACATCCATGTTATAAATCTCACACTATGTGATATTTTTGGCTTTAAGCAGTTACATGTATTTTGTAAAAAGGGAGAAATATAACCTTTTATATTTATCCACATGTTTACCATCTCCCACCCTCTCCATTCCTTTTTCAAGGTTCAAGGTTTTAGTGGATATCATTGCCTTTACCTTAACAAATTTCTTTTAGCATTTCTTGTAGTGCAGGCCTATTGGCAACAAATTCTTAGCCTTTTAAAAGTGAAAATGTCTTTATTTGCTATCACTTTTGAAGGATATGTTTACTGTCCACAGACTTCAGAGTTGAAAATTTTTTTTTTAAAGATTTTATTTTTTTTCCTTTTTCTCCCCAAAGCCCCCTGGTACATAGTTGTATATTCTTCTTTGTGGGTCCTTCTAGTTGTGGCATGTGGGACGCTGCCTCAGCGTGGTTTGATGAGCAGTGCCATGTCCGTGCCCAGGATTCGAACCAACGAAACACTGGGCCGCCTGCAGCGGAGGACGCAGACTTAACCACTTGGCCACGGGGCCAGGCCCCAGAGTTGAAAATTTTTAAAAGCACTTTAAAGATATTATTCTAATGTCTTCTGATCTCCATTGTTTCTGACAAGAAGTCCACAATAATTTGAATCACTGTTCCCTATATGTAAACACTTTTTCTCTTAGATTGCTTTCAAAGTTTTCTCTTTATCTTCGGTGTTCAACAGTCTGACCAAAATACGCCTTGGTGTGGTTTCTTTTTGTATTTATTCTGTTTGGAATTTGCTGAGGTTCTTGGAGTTATAACTTTCAGCAAATTGGGAAACTTTCTGGTTATTATTTCTTGATATATATATATATATATATTTATTTTTTTTTTTCCTACCCACTCTCTCTGTTCTCTTTCTGGGATTTCATTTACCTGTATGTCAGTTCCACAGATCTCTGAGGCTGTTTCTTTCTTTTTTCAATCTTTTTCTTCTGTTTGTTTTTCAGATTGAATAACTCTATTATCTCGCTTCAACTTCACAAACTCTCCTGTCATCTCCAATCTGTTGTTAAATCCACCCAGTGAATTTTTTATTTTAGATACTGTTCCAAATGTTCTGTTTTTTATAGTTTCTATTTTTCTACTGAGAGTTCTTATCTTTTCACCCATCATAAGCATATTTTCTTTAATGTCCATGTGTGTAATTATAAAATTCTTATCCAATATCTGGGTCATCTTAGGGCTGGTTTCCATTGATTGCCTTTACTTTTGAGACTTTCTTGTTGGTTTTTTTCTTCTTCTTCTTCTCTCCAAAGCCCCCAGGTATATCGTTGTATATTCTAGTTGTGAGCGCCTCTGGTTGTGCATCTTGTCTCTTTATATATCAAGTAATTTTGGAAATTTTTGAATCTTTGACCAAATGACAAGTAATTTTGGATTTTACCCTGGAGATTGTGATGATACATTGTAGATTTGGATTCTATCATGTTTCTCCAAAGGTCACTGATGTTTTGTTTTGTTTAACTTGACTGGACTGAAAATGCAAATTCTATTTCCCTTGTGAGGAATGACAGCTAAAACCTCTGTTTAGCTCATCTGGCCTTAGGTTGGCTGCTTGGATTACATCCCACACCTGCATGGTTCAGGGGTCAGCAGAGATTTGGATTGAGTTTACTCGTAGAGTTTGAGGGCTCCTTCTCTCTGGCTCTCTCTCTAGAAGAGAGAAGTAAAAAAATAGTTTTCATTTCTTAATCTTGCAGCTGCTGCAATTACTCCAATCTCTGTTCTTGTGTCATTAAGACCACGAGTTTTCTGCATATTTAGCTGCCCAGAACCAAGTGCAGTCTTCCCTCAGACTAAAAGCAGTAAAACCCAGGAAACTCACCCAATGCCATTCCCTTCTTTTAAGCGTTTATTTTCCAGTGACTCTGGTTAGTTTTTTAATATTTTGTCCAGAAGTTTTACTTATTGTTTTCATAGTGTTACTTAATGGGAGAGTTGATGCAAAAAGAGCAACTTCACCATTACCAGCAGCAGAACTGGTAACAGTTTCAGGAAAATTTAACACAATGAGAATCAAATCTGGATAAATTTTCATAGTAAAAGTTATGAGGTACTCTCCCAAGCTCCCCATCCTCCCAATGCCTAATCTGTTGCCATAACCTCACTTACTGGTTTGTCTTGTCCTCATGGATTTGAAATGCCTCTTTAATTGAACAATAAATTTTCCATATGCTCACCTAGATCTGTTTCTTGACAGCCTACCTAGTCATTGCTCTGTCTATCTGATGCTAGGACAACTCTGTCCTAAAGTCAGTGTTGCATTAAGCCTGGCCGGAGAATAATTTGGTAAGACTTTTTTGTTTCTTTTTGAGGAAGATTGGTCCTGAGCTAACATCAGTGCCTATCTTCCTCTACTTTATATGTGGGACGCCTGCCACAGCATGGCTTGCCAAGCGGTGCCATGTCCACACCTGGGATCCAAACTGGTGAACCCTGGGCCACCGAAGTGGAACGTGCGCACTTAACCACTGCGCCACCGGGCTGGCCCCTGGTATGACCTTTCTGGTAAGCAATTTGACAACAGTATGAAGGGCCTTTGAAATGTTTTAACCCTTTGACTTAAAAATTTCACTCTTGAGAATCCTTCTAAGGAAATAAGAATAGAGGCCAGACATTTAGATACAAAAATATTCATCACAATGTCTTCATAATAAAAAAAAATCTCCCAAATTTTAATATTTAATGTAAGGCTATGATGTATTCATACAGGAGTATATACAGTCATAAAAATATTTATGGATACTTTGACATGAGAAATTGCTTTCAATTTATTTTTATGTGGAAAAACTAGAATATAAAAGTATATGTAGGATATGATTTGAAGTATAAAACTTAAATATGTGTCAAAACATATCTGACAGAAATACATCAGTATATTGACAATAATTTTCTCTGAGTGGTAGAAAGAACAGCTGATTTTTACTTCACTTTTGCAATGTTTTTCATTTTCTAAGTTTTCCACAATGGGCAGGTATTACTCTTGCCCTCAATGAAACAAACATTAACCAACAAAACCACTGGTTCCTAAATGTCTTGCCTAGTGAATGGACAGAATAAGACAGCTGATAAGAGCCAAAGAAAAGGCACGAAAAGCCCTTTTATTTTTATAAGGTAGCAAACAGGTATATTTATGAGGTGCTTTTCTGAGGCCAGGGTGGAATCAAGCTGAGAATCCAAGTTGTTTGACACAGCTTTATAATTTCCCCATCATCTAAGTATACTCAGAAGGTTGCAGGCTGAAAAGGCAGGGAAGTTTGTTATGTGCATATTTTGGCATTACTGGATCTGTGGTCACTCTTCAGAATACGGCACTAATGAGGCCTGGGCCAGATAACTTATCTGAGCTCATTCATCATTCCCTGCATCCACAATCCTGACCATCCATCTTACACACACACACATGCTGCAGACCCAAATGAGCTCTGGCCATTCAGGGCCGCAGGATAGAAGAGAACGTTTGGTGGTTTTACATGCTGGTAATGTAAAAATAGCTAACAATAATTAGACTCTTCCTGTTTGTATGCACATTACAGTTTACAAAGTTGTAGACTGACAAGAAAGTGGACCTGAAGGTTTAAACATGAAACCTTGGTCTTATGCAAGTGAGTGCAGACTCTCTGTTACCCAGGAAGTGTCATGGGAGGGTAACCAGCCTGCCCCACTGAGAAGAGCCTACAGAGTGATGGCTTTCATTCTTGTTGCCCCAAAAGGGCACAGAGCCACAGCAGAGGCAAGTAAGCAAGAAGTGGGGAAGGCGGGCTGAAGGAATGGCACTTCTGAGAGGCACATAGATCTCTGCAAAGTGCAAGGGAGGACAGTCACTTCCGTTGTATAGTTGATGGAAGACTCTATATACAGAATTCAAATTCTGGGCAAATGGAGTCTGGGAATTCTCTGCTAGTTTTCAGGGCCTCAACACCAGCAGCCATTCTGGCACAGGCCTGAGGAGGCGTGAGGATGAAAATCTGTGAACCAGGAGCATGACAAGAAAGCCCATCTGGGGGAGCGGAAGCCCATGAAGGCTGCCTTGGGGATCCTCTGAGGAAGACAAGGGGCTGTGTTCACGCTTGGATAACGGCTCAGCAGAGAGGTGGGGCGGGCTCATTACAACACCCAAAGCCAGGCGTGGGTTCTTGTGGGTTCCTGCGCTGGACTCTGCCTTCCACACTCGGACAAGGCCGACTTAACCCGGCTGGTTCCTGTGCACACTCATCCCTCACAACGACCCCCAAAGGAGTCTCCCTACTCTACAGTTGGAGAAACTGAGGCCCATGGGGATTAGGCCTCTCCCGAAGGTCAAACAGCTGGGGACGAGCTGCCACCAAGGCTCAGCCACAGAGAACGCAGTCGAACTCCCAAAGCAGACGGCTCACGGTGGGAGAAAGATGGCGCCGGGACCACAGGCGGCTAACTTCCGGCCCCTATTTGTGTCGGGCCCTCACTTCCGGCTCTTACTTCTGTCCCACCCTCACTGCCGGCCCTTATTTACGTTGCTCCCACACGGCCCATCCTCATTTGTGTCGGGCCCTTATGTACAGCGGGGGCTGTATTTACGCCTTGTTTCACGATTACTCACGTACACAGGACCCTCACTTACGTTAGGGCTCGCTGTCGGGCGACGATGCAGTCGGGCTGGCCGCTGCGGAACACCAGGCGGGCGTTGGACTGCACCCACAGCCAGCCGGCCTGCTTGGTGAGCAGCCGGAACACCGTGAGCCCGCTCTCGCCCGTCCTCATCACTGCAGAGCGAGAGGGTGCTCCCATCACACCTGTGCTCCCTCCAACCCTCTGGAACCAGCCCTCCAGGAGGCAGGGGGCGGGTCCAGAGCCCCAGAGATGTGTGCGAGGATTTCCCCCACCTCCCATGGGGCAGGGTTGGGCCCCAGGGTCTTGCCGAACTCACTCCGCACATGGTTCTCCGCACGGTACATCATGTCGGCCACGTGGATGAACTGGTAGCCCGATCCCCTCCTGCAGAGTTCGCTCTCCGTGTAACCCAGGACCACCTTGCCTCTGTGTAGAGGAGACACGCACACCCTTATCTTACAGCCTCACAGTGATGCCAAAAGGAACAAAGAGTTGATGAGGATTATTTTAGGCTGGTTACTTTTAAAAACTGCAGATGAGTAGGAGGCTCTGAGGAGTGGAATTTGCTTGCCCTTTGATGAGAGACATTTGCATTTGTGAAGGAAGTCTCCATCTGTGGGCGGTGTCTCCCTCTCTGCACCAGGAGGAAGGGGGGATGACCTTATCTCTAGAAACTCTTAATGGGGACGGCAAGGACTTAAGTCTTGTTTATTGTGCTTGTCTGGTAACCTCATGTAGCTGACTCCCCCCACCACCAACAATCCTCCTTTGTCTTTAGCTGAAGATAATATTTAAGGTGGTGGATTCTGGCATTTACTTAATCTGGTTTGATTCTTATCTAAAAGTTATAAGACCACCCAATAACCAGACCCCACCTGCACTATCATTTTAACAACTTTTTTACATATTCTTTCCTTTGTCTTGTAAAGAGATAACTCACATACCTATGCCTTAAATTTAGCCATACTCTCAACCCATGTTCACAGCAGCAGCTCCTCCTGCCCTTGGGTCCTGTCCCCACACAGCAGCTCTGACTGCCCATGGGTCCTGTCCCCATGCTATTTCACACTATTCTCTAAATAAAAGAGCACTACTGCCAGACCTTGAGAGTCCAAGAAATCTTTCTTTCGACTCCTTGGCTCACCAACCCCGCATCATTTCCTGCTGTCTGACATTACACAACTCATTTGGACAATTGTTCTTGCCTTGCCTTTGGTCTTAGACTCAGGATTTGGGCCATAGCCAATCTTGGAGCACTCTTGAGTCCCTTGGAGTCATGAACTTCTGTTCAGAGGGATATACCTGGAATCACAGGCTATTGGTGTGAAATCCAATTCGTGTTTTGTTTGGAAAAGAAATGTTTTGTTTTGGAGGTCCAGGATGGTGAGTGGCTGGCAAGGTGTTGCAATAGCAAACAGGGTGAGTTGAGGAGACACGAGGATGCCATCTTCTGACCTATTGTTCTTTCCAGGGAGGAGTCTAAGATGGCCATGGAAGTTCAACTCCTAGAAAAAGCAGACCCCAAATGTAATAAGCAGAGAAAAGAGAAGAGGATGTTAAGTAGCTAAAACAGTGAACATAACTTCTCCATTATGGGACTCAGAGGGTACAGTATCCTCCTTGGAGTCGAACAGGCAGGACTTCCCCTCTCACCCCTAGAGCATAGGTGTGCACAGGCCTGGAGGTTTCTCATTCTTCTACCCTGCCCATGAGGCCCTGATCACTTTTCATGGCTCCTCAGTCCTCCCTGGGGGCCCTAACCCACACCCCACAGAGCTTCAGAGTGTACTGTTAATTGAGCTGTGAGAGGATATACAAGTCCAGGAATTGGTAGGCACTGTTAGCTGATTTTGGTGATAGTGAAGAAGGTGGATGTTCACATCCTGAGTTCACCAAGGACCCTCCACTTAGGGCTGTACCAGAGGTAACAGGTATAACTAAATCCCAAGGAAACATATCCCAAGTCTTAACCAGGCAGAAGAAGGTTCAAAAGACAACTTGATCTTTAACAGTCTAACGCTCTGAAATGGCTGTGAGCTGAAGGCCAGAGGGCCCTTCTTGGGATGGTAAGGAAGCCTGGCCCAACTCTTGGGCAGTGTTCCATCTGAGTAGAGCCATGCACCAGTTTAGGAAGTTCTTGACCCTGTAAGAACAGTGTGATTACCAGAAACCCGGAGGAATTGTCCAGCAGGCAGCGGAACTGACAGACAAAGCTTCTCTCCAGATAGGAGGGGTCCTCCAAGGGCAGAGGCTGTAGGCTGTCAGTGGAGGCTCCACTAAGTCGGGGGATCTTCGCCCCAGGCAGAGCTGGGAGGACAGAGAGACAAATGAGGCTCCACCAGAACAGTTCATCACCACAGAGCTCAAACATCTATAGTTCTGGAATAAACTGGTGGGTGGAGAGACTGTGGGGTCACAAGCACTGTGGCCAAGTGAACTTTGGCCTTCACCAATAAGATGACCTTGATCAGCCACTCAGGCTGACTTTCTCATTTGTCAAATGATGCTAGCAGTCCTGCCTGCTTACTTGCCTTATGGTGTCCTGAGGATCAAGATAAAAATGAAATGATGCATATAACATATATCCAGCAACCCTGTTGGCTCTATTGTGGAATATACCTTGGAACCAACCACTTCTCATCACTTCTACCTCTACTGTGCTGGCCAGTTTCCATATTATCAGCTGGGCAGAACATCTTGGTGGTTAAGAGCATGGACCCTGGACCCAGACTGGAACTTCACCTGTTGTGTGACCCTGGATAAGTTATTTAACCTCTTTATGGGCCTCAGTTTTCTTATCTGACTTCATAAGGTTATTATGAGAATTAAACAAATTTATATACATAAAGCAGTTGGAAGAGTACCTGGCACATTGTAACCTCTATATAAATTGGTTGTTATTCTCATTTTTTTTCTTGCTTTAACTTTGCCATAGCGTTCTAACTGGTGTCCCTGCTTCCGCCCTTTACCCCTACAGTCTGTCCTCCACTCAGCATCCAGAATAACATTAAAATACAAGTCAGGTCATGTCACTTCTCTGCTCGGAATTCTCCAGTGACTTCCTACCTCAAAGTCTATAGTGGCCTGCATGGCCTACCTGATTCCCCCTTCCCCCCCCAGGAATTACCCACCAGTCTCCCCCTTAACTCTCTCTGTGCCCTCCTTCTCATTCCTCAGCTGTGCCAAGTGCATTTCTGCCTCAGGGCCCTTGCACCTATGCTCTTCCTTCCTCTTGCACTGCTCTCCTCCATTTATCCACACTTCTGTAAATGGCAACAAGCCCACCACAAAACTTTTCTCTCTCCTTACTACCTTGGTTTCTTCTTAGCACTATACCCCACCAGATATGGTATGTGTTTATTCATTTGTTAATTTTTTTTACCCCCTTCCCCCATTAAACTTTAAGCTCCATCAGAATAGGGACTTGGGGGCCGGCCCAGTGGCACAGCGGTTAAGTTCACATGTTCTGCTTTGGCAGCCCGGGGTTTGCTGGTTTGGATCCTGGGTGCGGACCTATGCACCACTTGGCAAGCCATGCTGTGGCAGGCTTCCCACATAGGAAAAGTAGAGGCAGATGGGCACGGATGTTAGCTCAGGGCCAGTCTTCCTCAGCAAACAAAACAAAAAAACCAACCAAACAAAAAAAGAAGATTGGCAACAGTTGTTAGCTCAGGTGCCAATCTTTAAAAAAAAAAAAAAAAGAATAGGGACTTGGTGTGTTTTGCTCACTGCTCTATCCCTAATGCCGAGAACACAGCCTGGCACGTGACAGGCACTCGGTAAACATTTGTGAACTGAAGGACTGAACCAAATATGGTAGAAATGGTGATTTTTCTCAGCCTTGTTGTCTACGATGGATGTCAGTTATTGCTCCTTTGTAAGGAAAAGAAAATGCTATGCACAGAAAAGTGACAGAATAGCCTCCCTAACAAGAAAAAGTACTTCTGTGGAGGACGCTGCTTTCACCTTTTTTGGAGTGCTGGTTCAGCTTCCTCTCTCTCTCAGCCCAGGAGTTTGTAAGGAAGTCTTCTCAAAGGGTAACAAGAGAAAAACCAAACTCTTGGGATTAAAAATAAAAGGACCATCTAAACTTCATTAGAAAGTCAGGGATGAAAAACCAGATCTATTCTATTTTGCTGTAATTCTCAACCTGACAGGTCAGATTATATTTATATTTACACTGATGGTTTTCCCTGTGTCACGTGAAAATTTGATTTATTTAGACTTAAGTTCTGCAGAAGAATAAAATGAGAACAGGCTTACAATAGCTTAGCAACCCTGAATGTTTTAATGGGAGGAATGAAGGGAAGGACTTAGTCAGAGTATGATCTGATAAATTTTATTGCTGTTCTTTCTTAATCTCATGTAATAAAGCCCCTAGCACCATATCTGGCACATGGTGCACCCTCAGTAAGTGTTAGAAAGTCTGCATTAACTTGAATTTGGTTTAGGTGGGTGGTTTTTAGATATTTTTCTGGCATATTTATAGCACTATTATTGAAGTTTTACTTGTATTTTGAAGAATATTGTCATGCATACATTTATAAACATATAGATAGACTGCTGTAGGGTTTCTGCCACTGCAGGAATGTAAGAGTATAAAAGGAATTTAAAAACATGAAATTATATGCAAAATTTCAGAGTATGCATTGTGAAGGACATAATTCAAACTTGCCAGTGTCAGCAAGTGTACAAAAGTCTACTGCTCACTGTGGGATTTACAAATACATTCTGACTATGGTTTAAAATTAACCCAGGCCTCTCTAACCATAGAATTTGTGCTGATAAAAATGGATAATCTTGCATTTCAGAATTTGTCTATTTAAAGATGCTACAGGATTTACTAGATTTAAATTTCATTTCCTAAACTGCCAAATGAAGGAAATAACATATAACACTCTTCCTAAGTGGACATGAAAATTCCAATCAATATTTTATTTGGGGGTTGGGAAAAAGAATGGAAAATTCCAAGGAAGTGGAAACAAGAATTATAATGGTATATTGTAAATTCACCACATGGTTTGCTACCTCAAAGTATGTTATTCATACCTTACATATAAGACATAAATAAAAAGCGATGGAAACACACTAAAAATTCTTTTTGAATGACTTTATTTGTATGTATTTGACTCCAAAGTGCTATAAAGGAAGTAAGAAAATTTGGAGTATTTTTGACCTCACTGTCTTGAAAAAGTGCCAAGAACTATTTGCTCATAGCTATTCAATTTATTAAACAAAAAATCTGTTGGATTCTTATTGACAATTTTTTAAGTATTCTCAAATATTTTAGATTTATGTATGAAAATACAGTTGGAACAGGAAGTCATTACTTTCATTGAGGAAGAAGTGAAAGAAATATAAGGAACCACTAGGTCAGAGGCAGTAGTGGTGCAGGAACTAGAGAGCTGAGGGCACTGGGTTGTTGGTGTTGTGTCTTGGCCTTAGACTACTGACTACCTCAGTGGCTTTAGGAAGGTCCTCACTCCACTCTGAGGCTGTGCTTCCAGAGCTTTGAAACAGAGGGGCTGGAGTAGATGCCTACTAAACTCCACAGCCCACGCTGAACCTCAGATCTCTGTTCCTTTCCCTCGACCCTGGCTAGTCAATATGGACAGGGGTGGAGGCACAGAAAGACCCCATCAAAGGAGACACAAAACTCAATGCTGAGGACAAGTTTCCTCCCTTCAAGGAGCTGATAATCTGATGGGAAAGAGAAAAGAAAGTAAAGACGTGTTTCATGATAAGTAAATTTACCCTGCTGGACTTAGGGCTGATGGAGACAAAGTCTTGTGTGGAGTGTCTGAAGTGGGAGCAGGCTTTGGAGAGAGAAGGACTAAGATCACCACAGCAGCCATAGCTGAAGTGAACTACAGCTGGGTCTTACAAAGTTATACAACAATACCTTATAATCAGTCTTGTAAGTTTATTCTTTTTTAGTATTTTAGGCTGTTTACCACAAAAAGGATATCATTATTAGTGTGCAAACACTGGCAAATGGCTTTAATTTTTTCTAAGTGAAACGTCTGTTTTTTAGTATTTCATTCTTTTCTGACCATCCTTCACAACAAAACAGGGAAGAGCCTGTCCTTGCATCCTGTGTGGATGCATTAAATGCACTCTAAATCCTTGGAGAGGGGACCTGTATCTGACTTAGAAAATGGCATTTACTTGTAAATGACAATTTTGCCTTTTGCCTATGGTTTCCCACAGGTCAGCAGAGTAACAAATGCTCAGGGCCTAATGGCCACCCATCCTGTATACTCATAAAATACACAGATTTGAGTCCCCTGCCAGCCTGAACATGGTTCAGGGGACTCACCTACCTGGGAAGGGAGAATATTTCCTTCAGCCTGAGTCCTATCACCCACCAGTTGGATCCATCTGGGCAAGCCTCAATCTCCTCATTGTACATTCATTTGTTCCTACAACTAATATTCACTGAGTGCTCAGTGAATTCACTTTGTCTCAGGCACTGTTCTAGGTACTGAGAATACACCAGTGAACAAGACAGTCACAATCCTTTCTTGCATCCTACTCGTAGTAAAAACAACAGAAACTCACTCCACATGGATGTTTTCCAGTTACCAGGAGGATCAGATGAGGTCACAGATGTGAGAGGGATCTGAAAGATGCAGAGTCCTGTGCCAATGCCCATGAGCTGATTCCTGAGGCAGCTCCCCTTCGTTTCTTCCCCTCTTGTACCTGGGACCTAGTGAGTGCTCGATCAGTGCTTAATGCAATAGACGTTCCAGCTGAGAGAGTGTAACTTCCTGGTCTGATTTCTTACTTATGGACTGCAAAGGTTGAAACACAAGTGCAGGGTTGACTTTGCATTACAGCCCTTTTCCCTCCGAGCCTTGGGGACTTACAGTGGGTGTCCTGCTCCTCCTCTCTGCTGACAGGTGCTGTGTCTGGAGACCAGCATAACTGGCTCTGGAACATGGCTCTGTCCTCCTTGTGGATCAGCTCAAACACATTCTGATAGATGACATCTGACTGCAAAGACCAAGGGCAGTGTCACACTCCTGGGGCAGCTGCCTGCCTTCCTGAGCCAGGTGTGGGGGACTTGAATTGGCCACCCCAAGATATGTCTCTTTGGCATGAGGACTATTTTGGGCTGGTTATTTTTAAAAACTGCAGACATGAGAGAAACTCTGAAAAGTACAAGTTACCCTTTGTTAAGAGACATTTACATTTGTAAAGGAAATCTCCACCTGTAAATGTGCCTCCCTCTTTGTACCAGGAAGAAGGGGGGATGACTTTATCTCCAGAAACTCTTATCAGTGTGGAAGGCAAGGACTTAAATCTGCATAATTACCTTACTTTTGTTTACTGTGCTTTTCTGATAACCTCCCATAACCAATTCTCCCCACCCCCAACATCCTCCTTTGTCTTTAGCTGAGGATGGTATTTAAGGTGAGAGATTCTGCCATTTTGGTGAGTTACTCAGTTTTTCTGGGTCTGTCCCATGTATACAAGTTATAAAGCTTTGTTTAATTTTCTCCTGTTATTCTGTCTCATGGGAATTTAATTCATTATCCGGCCAGAAGGACCCAGAGTGGGTAGAGGAAATGTCTTCTTCCCCTACACAGGTATGACTTGTTTACCTCAGATGTTTCTGAACCATGATGTCCAGCTCTTCTGACACCTTCCAGGCAGCTTAGACTGTCCTGTCCTTGTCCCTCCCTAACCTGGGGGCTGGCTGGTGCACTCTGCTCCTGTTTCCCTCCTCTGGTCTTGCACAGCCCATCTTCCCAGGCTGCTGCTGTCCCCTGACCCAGAAAACTTCACATGAGGTGGGCACCGCCATGGTGTTGGAAGCCATGCCTGTATTGTGTCTTGAAAAGGGTGGCAGTTCTTGGGGAAAGTGGGAAGGAAAGAGTGACTGCCTAGGAGATAAGTCACAAATCAGTAGCAGGGAGATGCTGGAGATGGGGAACACCCATAGGAAGTTACTGAAATAGCCTCTCCAGTTGGCTTGAAGCTCTATGGAAGGAGAATGTTGAGTTTTCCTGGAAGTCAGTCATTAGCAATCTGGATAACAAAATCAAACTGAATCAGAACAAAAATCTCATTTCCAGGGAGATCCAAGTTTGTTCTGTCATTTGTTGAAGGAGATGAGGGAATATAAATGCTAACGTAATCTCAAAACAAATGGGTTTAGCTATGTAGTGACTTGAACACAAAAAAGAATTAAGGTATCCTGTCCTCATACAGATTTTGCATATTTGGACATAATGAGAATGTTAAATAGTCTTCCAACTAGTTTGCCTTGAGGAGTGTTAGTGTGTTCCTTGTAAATCAGACAGGTTTAATTAAAATATAAGGAGTCTCTTCACCCTCACTTATAGTTAATAATTTAAGTTGTGTTCTATTTGAGTATAGTTTGGGATTCTTCTTGACCTTCTGACAAGGAATTAAGTGCAGTTGAAAGTTTTCTGTCAGCAATAAAAATTCTACTGGACCAAATGCTGTCCAAATAAGTTATATTCTTCTTCACTCTTCCCCTTATCCCCCTCCCCACACACAGCATGATCTTCAGGACCCTGTCGTATATAACCATTATCTGCCACTAAACTCAGGGAAAACCACTACATGGTATGGTGATAAATATTGACAAGGTCTGGTATCTAATCTATGAAAAGACAAAGACATTGAAGGGCTTGACAATGGGCCTCCAGGATGGAAGGAGGTGAGGGTAGGTGGAATGAAGACCCCATTTTATAAGGAAAGTCTGAGGGGAAGTAACAGAGCAAGAAGGGTTCAGGAAAACAGCAACGGATCTTGAGGGACTGCAGCATGGGGGGCTGAGGCCAAGGGAGGTGGGCTTCAGAGGGACCACCAGGCAAAATAGAAAAGACTGCCTGGAGGAGTGCTCTCTGCCTCTAACTGGTGGAGCCCCACCCAGTTCTCGTGTGGGAGAGCTGAGGACAGAGGCAAAGGCCCCAGGTGGCCACTCCTCCCTGTGACACAGTGTGTGTGCGCGAGGCTTTGAGATGGAGACCTAGTCTTCTGACTCCCATCATACCTCCCCAGAGATGAGCACCACACCAGCCCGCCCCACTCCTCCCTGTGACACAGTGTGTGTGCGAGGCTTTGAGATGGAGACCTAGTCTTCTGACTCCCATCATACCTCCCCAGAGATGAGCACCACACCAGCCCGCCCCACTCCCCAGACTCACCCAAACTCTTCAATGGAAAATAAAATCACTCACTTGATGAAATCCCAAGTAGTCCTGGACAGTGGGAGAGACGTAGAAAACACAGCCATCTTCTGTAACAGCCATGAGGAAGCCGTCCAGGGCCTGGGGAGAGGCAGAGAAGAGTCAGTTCAGGTTTATTCCTTGTTTTCTCATAAGTTTTGAGGCTACAGAGCTCCTAAGGGCCTGGGCCCACGTCATGAGGTGTTTCTGCTGAGCTTCCTTTTGGTGTGGAGTGCTGCCCAAATCCTGACTTGTCACTTCCTAAAGCAGGTCCCAGGATGGCCAGCCAGTCTGGCTTCTCAAAAATGATGAATAAATGAAAAGCAATAGGATATATTGGAGTATATTAGGAAGCCATTTAGTTTAAAACTAATTCAGCCTGACTTTGTTTTTCCAAAAAAGTATGACGTGGCCTATTGAGCAAGCCCTATACACCTGCTTTAAACATTCACAATGTCCCAAAACCAAGAATGACGCCCTTCAACATAGGGATGTAGCTTACCCCCAAATCAGTAGTTCTTTAAGGATAAGCATCTCTTCCTGAGAATTAAGGATTTATTACCTACCTGCTATGCTCACCTCGTGACCACTTGCCATACCAGCAAAGCAATCTCATGACTATTATAAAAGGGACATTCCTATCATATGTGATGTATGCTCTTTTTTCCAACATGGTATATAACCACACTGTGCATCCTTCCTTGGGGAAGGAAGCCCCCTGGGCTATAGTCCCCAGACCTGGCTCATATAATAAACTCATCCCAATTTTGATTTGTAGATTGATTATGAATTATTTACAGAGACAAAAAGCTCAGCTCAACTATTGCTCATTCACACCAGCTCCTGAGGAAAGGTGAGTGTGTTTGTGTGTGTGTATGTGTCTGAGGCAGCAAAGTAGAGCCAAATATCAGCTTCAGTCTATTGAGAATACTGCAAACTGAACAACAATTAAACAAATGCACACACACATTTTTTTGTTTTCCTCTCTGCATCTCTGTAGTGTGGCCCATCCCTTGGCTAAACTAATCCATTTGTCGCCTCTCACTGTAGGAGATGGACAAAACAGTTCAATATTCTCCACTGGCTGAGGCTACACGTTGGGTTCACCTGGGCAGGGCAGCTAAAAATAGTGCTCGTTCATCCTTTCACCCCTCCTGGGAGCCACTGTATTAGAAACACCAGGAGTATAAATTTTTTTTTTTTAAAGATTTTATTTTTCCTTTTTCTCCCCAAAGCCCCCCAGTACATAGTTATATATTCTTCATTGTGGGTCCTTCTAGTTGTGGCATGTGGGATGCTGCCTCAGCGTGGTTTGATAAGCAGTGCCATGTCCGCGCCCAGGATTCGAACCAACGAAACACTGGGCCGCCTGCAGCGGAGCGTGCGAACTTAACCACTCGGCCACGGGGCCAGCCCCTACACCAGGAGTATAAATTTTTAACCATTTTTCCAGGAGATCCTGGGGAGGCATCCAGCCTTAGGACAAAAAATGTATTTTGGTGATAGTTGAGATGAGTTTTAATTTTAAGCTTTCAGTCAGAAACCTTTTTTCTATACTCATGTCAGGGAGACATGTACCTAAGGTTTAAAGCCACCTCCCAAGATTTCCAGGTAAAAATTACAAACAAATGCTAATTAGGAAAGACGTATTTATTCAGGGAGTATTTATTGAAAGCACAAGTTCCCAAATCTTAGCCTGAGACAAACAACGTGTAAAACAATCTTTGGCTTCCAGGAGAATAGGATTTACATGGGAGATAGGCTCAGTGGCAGTACAGTGAAGCACCAACACAATGCAGTTGGCTGTGGGTTTTGCAGTGAGAGGCCAGGGCAGCCGGGGCCCAGAGTTCATGGGCAAGGTGGGCTGAGAGGCTCAGCGAGGAGCCAAAGCCTGGGCTAGGGCCTGCAGGTGGTTTAGCTTGAAGGAAAAGGGTGCTCCTGGGGGTGGGAGCAGGATGTGTGTGCCAGTTCTGAGGTGCTGAGTGACTTCCATGCACTAAGCGTAGAAAAAGGTATAAAAGGATAAGTACCAAAACGTTCACAGGAGTTACTTCTGGTGGTGTGATTTTTGACTATCTGGACAACTTTTCAACTATGAACAGGTTTACTATTTTTTTTTAAAATAAGGCATGTGGGATTAGGCAGGATTTCAAAACATTCCACGTCCAAGTAGCTCCTTTTAACCTTTGGTCCCCCCAGGGTGGGGACTCTGGGAGCACCACATGTTTTAGGAAAGACGACCAGCAAAAAGAAAGAGGAGTCTTCCTGATATTTGTGTTTCAAAGGCCAAGTGTTTAGGCAGAAAAAAGGGAAAGAATTCATGGATCTAGTCAAGACATCAGCTTGGACAATGCTAGGTGACACGCCATCAGCAGAGTTTCCTGCCCTGAGACTTAAAGAGGTTCTCCAGGCTATGGGAGTATAGACTCAAGGAGAAGTGAAGGAAGCTTACATGCTCAGATGTCCCTGAGAAGCTGGGATGGTGGGGCATGAGGGCTGTCCTCCCCTCATGGGGGATGACAGAAACCCCAAATAGGTTTGAGGGGCTTTAGAGAAAATATTTTTAGTTTCTGCAACTAGGGGTTCTGAGAAAATCTTACTGAGACTTGGGAAGTAGTCTAAAAGAGCGAGCCTTGGAAGTTAATTACTGCTTCATAGACAGTGAGGACTCCAGAGAGGTTTTTCTGACTCTGGAGGTATGTGCTTACAGACCTGGGAACACGGAGTCATCCCTGGTTGTAAAGCTGTAGACAATGGTCTCATCATTCCCCTAGAAAGATTCATTTACATTCCAAATGGTTGGAGTCATAGTTCAGGATCCTTGCCAAGGTTTTTCTCCTTCCTTTCAGGAGGGGAGGGAAATTGCAAGTATATAAGTGCCCAAGAGTCATATTTTTGCTTTCCTTGCCCATAATGTGACCAATCCAAAGTGGGTCTGCTTCTTGCTGAGCTGAAATCAAAGCCCGCACTAGAAGTGGTTGTCACACAAACACACAGCAAATAAGGAGCCCATGGGGAGTTATTTCCAAACCTGTGGCTCCCTGAGCAAGGGAAAGCAGGGGCCTTTTATTTCAGATGGGTAATGAACATTCAAAAGAGAGAGGTGGGTACTCGCTTGCACAGGTTCAGTTGGAAAACATGCTTCCATATACATCACATGTCATGGTAATAAGGCCTAAGCTCCTCCTGGGGTGGAGACACTAAAATGAAGCAAAGGTAATCTCTTGGGCACTTCTCAATAGATGCAGAGAAGGCATTTGACAAGATACAGCATCCATTTATGATAAAAACTCTAAATAAAATGGGTATATAAGGAAAGTACCTCAACATAATAAAGGCCATATATGACAAACCCACAGCTAATATCACTCTCAATGGAGAAAAACTGATAGCTACCCCTCTAAGAACAGGAACCAGACAAGGATGCCCACTTTCACCACTCTTATTTAACATAGTATTGGAAGTCCTAGCCAGAGCAATCGGGCAAGAAAAAGAAATAAAAGGGATCCAAATTGGAAAGGAAGAAGTGAAACTGTCACTATTTGCAGACTACATGATTTTATAAATAGAAACCCCTAAAGAATCCAATAAAAAACTTTTAGAAATAATAAGTGAATACAGTCAAGTTGCAGGATACAAAATCAACATACAAAAGTGTATGATTTTTCTATGCATTAACAACAAAATAGCAGAAAGAGAGATTAAGAATACAATCCCATTTATAATCACAACAAAAAGAATAAAATAGCTAGGAATAAACTTTAAAGAGGTGAAAGATCTGTACAATGAAAACTATAAAACATTGTTGAAAGAAATTAAAGACGACACAAAGAAACGGAAAGATATTCTGGCTCTTGGATTGGAAGAATTAACATCATAGTTAAAATGTCCATACTTCCTAAATCAATCTACAGATTTGATTCTGGCCCTGATATCAGTTCCCCTACATTAAATCCAGCATATATGGGGTTAAAACTAAAGCACTCTTTCCCTGCATACTCCCTGGGCTCCAGAATCCACTATCCACCATGGAGACAAACAGCCAAGGTTGCCCACCTACAAGGTCCTTTATCATCCTCCTTCCTATGAGCAGCCTCCCAAGGCCGAATGTAGGCTGGTGGGAAAGCTCCAACCAGCGAGGCCACTGACTCCCCCACTCCCTATCTACAAGCAGCCACATTCCTCACAAACCATTAAAACCCCTGGCCTCCCATCCTTCGGGGAGATGAGATGAAATGAGACAAATTTGAGGGCTCACTCTCATCTCCTGGCTGATATCATTCGAAATAAAAACCCTTTCTTGCCATAAGCCTGGTGTTCCAGTTTTTATTTGGCTCCTCCTGTGTGGTGGGTAGGGAATCTATGTTTGTAGGTGTTAACAGATTCAATGCAATCCATATCAAAGATCCAATGACATTTTCCAAAGAAATAGAAGAGAGAATCCTAAAATTTATATGGAGCAACAGAAGACCCCAAATAGCCAAAGGAATCCTGAGAAAAAAAGAACAAAGCTGGAGGTATCACATCCCTGACTTTAAAATATACTACAAAACTATAGTAACCAAAACAGCATGGTACTGCCACAAAAACAGATGCACAGATCAATGGAACAGAATCGAGAGCCCAGAAATAAACCCACACATCTACAGACAGCTAGTTTTTGACAAGGGAGCCGAGAACATACAATAGTTGGTTTATAACATTATATAAATTTCAGATGTACATCATTATATTTCACTTCCTGTGTAGATTACATCATGTTCACCATCCAAAGACTAATTACCATCCATCACCATACACATTTGCCTGATCACCCCTTTCACCTTCCTCCCTCCCCAGTACCCTCTGGTAACCACCAATCCAATCTCTGTCACTATGTGATTGTTTGTTGTTGTTTTTATCTTCTACTTATGAGTGAGATCATACGGTATTTGACTTTCTCCCTCTGACCTATTTTGCTTAGCATAATACCCTGAAGGCCCATCCTTGTCACAAATGGCCAGAATTCATCATTTCTTATGGCTGAGTAGTATTCCATTGTGTATATATACCACATTTGCTTTATCCGTTCATCCCTTGATGGGCACCTAGGTTGCTTCCAAATTTTGGCTATTGTGAATAATGGTGCAATGAACAAAGGGGGGAATGTATCTTTATGCATTCGTGTTTTCAAGTTCTTTGGATAAATACCTAGCAGTGGAATAGCTGGATCGTATGGTAGTTCTATTCTTAATTTTTTGAGGAATCTCTGTACTGTTTTTCATAGTGGCTGCACCAGTTTGCACTCCCACCAACAGTCTATGAGAGTTCCCTTCTCTCCACATCCTCTGCAACACTTGTTGTTTCCTGTCTTGTTAATTATAGCCATTCTGATGAGAGTGAGGTGATATCTCATTGTAATTTTGATTTGCATTTCCCTGGTAGTTAATGATGTTGAACATCCTTTCACGTGCCTGTTGGCCATCTGTAGATCTTCTTTGGAGAAATGTCTGTTCAGATCTTTCGCCCATTTTTTAATTGGGTGGTTAGTATTTTTGTTGTTGAGATGTATGAGTTCTTTATATATTTTGGATATTGACCCCTTATCAGATATATGGTTTGCAAATACATCCTCCCAATTGTTAGGTTGTCTTTTTGTCTTGTTGACCGTTTCCTTTGCTGTGCGAAAGCTTTTTAGTTTGATGTAATCTCATTTGTTTATTTTTCTGTTGTTTCCTTTGCCCAGTCAGACATGGTACTTGAAAAAATGTTGCTAAGACCAATGTAGAAGAGCATACTGCCTATGTTTTCTTATAGAAGTACCATGGTTTCAGGTCTTACATTCAGTTCTAATCCATTTTGAGTTGATTTTTGTGTATGATATAAGATAACGGTCTAGTTTCATTCTTTTGCATGTGCATGTTGTTGTTGCTGCTGCTACCATCGTCATTATTATCAGAAGAGTGTGACCATCTCACAAACTGAAGTGTGCAAGAGCCATAGCTCCCTCTGTTTTTCTATAACTGACAAGTAAAAATGCAACTTCCCCCGACATTGGCATTTCCTTAAGGATAAGCATCTCTCCCTAGGCTAGAAATTGATTGCTGTGCTCACCTGTGACCACCCAGCTCAAGACAACAGACCTGCGACCCTGCTGTGCTCAATGGCCATGGTCAGGCCCTTTTGGAAAAAACAAAGTCAGGCCGAATTAGGTTTACACCAAATGGCTTCCTCATATACTCCAATATATCCCATTGCTTCCCATTTCTATTTGTCATGAGTCTCTGCCAAAACTCAAGTGACAGCGGCTGACTCCCTTGCTCTAGCAAGCTCTGAATAAGTAGCCTTTGCTTTTCTCATTTGGTTGGTCTTCATTTATTTCCACAATCCTGAATGCACACATGAGGTTTCTGGAGCAGAGCAGATTAACTATTATACATTTACAAGCAAACAATAACCGTGTGGGGGCCCTGAGCCCTCATTCCCTGCCCCTAGGCAGTGTGATGAAAGTGGAGGTTGTCCTGTTCATTCAAGCCTGTATTATTGCCACCAACTAACTGCCCTGAGCAGCTCAAAGCAATTTTGGAAGCACTTAACTGTTTTTCAAAATTGCTTTTTTTTTACTTATGTTAAGAAATGCAATCACCAACTGCCGTGAACCAGTTCAAACTCCCCTGCAAGAGCAACGCCTGCCCAGAAGCTGAGAAGTGCCCAAGAGATTACCTTTGCTTCATTTTTTTTTAATTGTGCTAACATACAACAGTATTACAACAGTAAGAATAATCCTGTGGAAGAACATTACATTCTCCTTTCCTATTGTGGTTTTACTATATAATTATTTCAATCATTGTAATAATTCCTTTGTGTACAGTTTCAAATTCTATGTTCCTCTCTTGACTCATTGAGCTCAACTGGGTAAATTATCAACCTGTTAAATTCAGCTTCCCCTCTGTTAAATTCAGTCCCACGCCTCTACATCATTATTATCACAAGCAACAAAACAAACAGAACATCAATAGATTATTCTGTTTAGTTAGCAAACCATTCAGATTTATATTTTATGTCTGGTCTTAGTTCATCATTTCTGTGTCTAGAGTGTTTTTATAAAAATAGAATTATTTAAATTTAGTTTGGTCTTAAATGCCAAACATCTGAATGTGATCCCACAAAATGAAGTCAAATATTTCTTTATCAACTGAAACAAGTTTATTATTATTTTTAGCAACTGAAACTAATTCTCAGCCATTTAAAATGCAACTAAATATGAAGCTGTGATGGTTAATTTTACCTGCCAACTTGGCTAGGCTATGGTGTCCAAATGTTTGGTCAAATACTAGTCTAGATGTTGCTGTGAAGGTATTTCTTTTATTTAGATGTGAATAATATTTAAATTAGTAGACACTTAGTAAAGCAGATTACCTTCCATAATGTGGGTGAGCCGATCAGTAGAAGGACTTAAGACTGAAGTCCCCGGAGGAAGAAGAAATTTTGCCTTCAGATAGCCTTCGGACTCAAGATTGCAAAATCAACTCTTCCCTGGGTCGACAGGCTGCCAGCCTGTTCTGCAGATTTCAGTTTTGCCAGGCCCCACATCACATGAGCCACTTCCTTAAAATCTCTTTCTACACACACCCACACACACATTCTATTGGTTCTGTTTCTCTGGAGAACCATGACTAATACAGAATTTTGGTAATTTGAAACTAAACAAACTAATTTTAAGTTATTCTTTAGGATCGCATTTCAGAAGATGTTTTTGTGTTGAAATTTCTATTTTAAAGGTATAAATATAAAACATTTCAAATTCACTAAAAAGTAAACAGTATAACCAAAAGTCATATATCCAGATTTAACATATGCTAACACTGTCACAAAGTCTTTGTAGCAGGTCTCTTTTTAAATTTAAAAAAATACCTGAAGCATTAAAAATGTAATTCCTTCAGCTTGTGGGTGGGGAGAGGAAACCACAGACTTTTAAGACATGGTAACTGTGCTGAGACTGAATCTTCAGCCAGAAAAAAGCCTAATGATTTTTCTCAACAGATAAACAATGATGCAGTTATCCTTTACGCCACCTCCTCTTTCCTGAAGAAGAGACCCACGTGCTTCTAGGGCCAATCACCCAGTGATTATGCATATTCTTGCTGGATCGTCTGCTGAGGTTTTGTATTTCTGGTTTGTGAGATGAAGATCTGCCAGATTTGTGACACCCAGAACCTGGATTCCTTGCTAAGGTACCAGCAATATATTATATTTAGATAGGAAATTACAGGGAAAGAAATTTCTTAAATGCTCAATAGTAGTAAAAATAAAATATAGTATGGCAACATTTCCATCTACATAAAATATATTTTTCCTTGCTACATTTGTTTCATTACTTGGGATTTGATGGCTTACAGTACAATTTTCACATCCACCCCTCCATCTGAGTCTCATATCCCCTGAGGCAGGCAGAGAAGATGAAGAATCATCCTTGAATAGAGAGGTGACTGCTACTTGACTAGCAAGTGATCATCATGGATTGACATCCAGGGTTTCTGACTCTTCCTACCTCATGTGTGACTCCCGCCCACATGGCACTATGATTATAGTATTGTCCCAAAATGGGAAATTAGATATATAATACTCTATTCAGTCAGAAATTTGACATAATAATTAAAGATAAATTCAACAAGAATTGAAACAAAATGTTTTCTGGAAGGTTCTGAGGTCTGATTCTGTTGTAACCATAACCATTGACAGGGAATAGAGATGGACAATATCATACAATACCTGAAGAAGCAAGTCCCCCTCAGAAAACAGTTCTACATTGACCTGTGGAGAGGTACACTGACTTCCTCGTGGGTTCATGAGTGGGTCAGCTGAGCTGTCTGCATTGCTGTCCTTTAGGGTGGCTGAGAAAGAGAAAAGGTGCCATTATGAATATGTTCTGTCCCCCAGGCATAGAGAGGAGAACCCAGGTGACCCTGGTTCTCAGCTCCGGAATCATCAGTGATATTGGTGGATGTGTTTTCTTCTAAGTTAAAGATTAAAAAGAAGAAAGAAGTCCTCATCTAAAAAACCCCGTTTAACTAGAATGTGCATGATTTTGTGATAGGTGTTCAACATTAAAAACAAGTACACATGCCCTACATTTTCCTCTTAGTCAAGACCACCTTTAGTTTATACAGAAAATACCATCATAACTGAATTGCTGATGTCTTAAGGGAAAGTTGGCCGCAAAGATGCACTGGTAAGCTTGTTAACAATCATTGAAAAGAGAGTCTTTCCTTTTATTATGTGGATTTGGCAACAAAGTGCCAAGCACGGCAGCTTCTGAACATCAGGCAGCGTTCTCTTTGCCAAAGGCAGGACCAAGGGGACTGGGTGAATAGTGAAGATGATTTTTGTAATCAAGTGATTTAGGTTCAAAATACCCATTAATCCAGGTATCACTGTATTATTTTATACACAGTATATATTACCCTTTAGGGACACAAGCTTCCCAAAGGAGGGAAAAAACTGGCCCCCATAGGATAAGCCCCTATCTACCCTGCTTTTTCCCCTGTTACTCTATTTTATTCTCTTCCAAAGAATAGACAAGTTCCTCTTTGTCTACAAACTTGATGCTTTGTCAAATGAATCTTTTTCCTTCTCAAACCTCTTGAAGGAAAAGCACCTGAAATTTGGCAATGATAAACTGTTCAGATTTCTGCCTTTCCATTCAGCTGTTATTTCACTTTGGCCCCCAAATATTTCCTCACATTCCTCATATTTTCCTCTCAAATGTTTACTAAAGAAGGGCTGTGCTTAAGGCTCTGCGAAGAACTGTTGGGATGCTAAGAGATACAATCTTGGAGTTGGAAGTGGTGTGTAGAAATACACATCTCCCTGAAATGCCACTTGGACCATGTGGAGAGCTGTGACCCGAGGTGCACTCTGACCTGGCTGTAGGAGGCACTGCAACCAAGTTGGAGGGAATGAGGTCTGGGATGCCTTCATGGGAGAAGTGGCAGGTGAAACAGACTTTGAAGGACAGGCAAGATTCCAGCTGGCAGTGCTTTCCTTCAGAACCTCATTCCTGAACATCTTTCCCATGACGGGTCTCTCTCACACTCCCATAGACTATCTAGTCAAAAAATGTATGGCTTGTGTGCACCTTGATTCATGCACATGAATGTGCGCCCAGGGTCCTGGTCCTTGTCATGCTGCCCAGAACCTTCCTTCCATTTCTTAATCTTTGAGTCACACTGAACTCTGAGCTCTGCCACCACACATACCCTGAATGGGATGAAAAGCTGCTTCAGGTTTTCATGCTTTTGTCTCCAGTCAAGTCACACATCTCAGCACAAAGTGCCACTATTCCTTCCCACAAGCAGATCCAGCTTGTTCCCTGCACTCATATCAAGTAAACGAAAGATGAGTATAAACCCAAAAAGGTAGTAGGAGGCCTCGAAGACACACATTTCTGGGATACCTTGCATTTAATGCTTTTTGGATTTCAGGACATATGGAAACAAGATAGGAAAGTTTTATAAGATAAAAACCCAAAAGCCACAGAGAAATCTGATGATTCAGCATTTTGTCAACATTTTCCTCTCAGTATCAAATAAGAGGGGGTGATGGGCTGTCGACAGTGGTGCACAAATCATCTTTCACTGGGGTGGCTCAGGAGGGAAGTGTTTATCCCAAAGCCCTAAGCTCCAGGCTGAGGATTCCAGGTTAGTGGCCCAAATCACTCATAGAGGGAACCACTGACAACATTAGAGGAGGTGGTGGTATTGGTGGGGACTGATATTAGCAGCAAACCCAGTCCTGAGGAGTCAGCTGAGCAGCTGCATGGTAAACAGTCTCTTTCAGGACATTCAGAAAAAGAGAAAGTGTGTCCTGGCCAAGAAATAATGGAAGGGTGGAGGAACTGGACTGGATGCCACAGTCAGCCAGAGGAGGAAGCAGGCCACATTTGCTGAGGAGACTACAAGGTCTTTGGGTCACAGAAACACACAAGATGCGACTCAGCCTCCTCAGAACACACACTGACTGCATGAGGTTCTGTGGATGCTGCTGAGTCAGAGCGGGCCAGAGTTTCCTGCTCCCCAGGAGTCCAGAGCTGCCTGAGGGGCTGAAGTCCCCCAAGCCCTAACTCCTCTGCATGATGCTCCAAGCCTCTCTTCTTTTTTCAAGGAATGGAACACTCAACCTTGTATCTGTAACGGACAACTCTCCATAAATCTTCGAGAAGAAACAAGATCCAAGGGTTAAAGTGAAATAAGCAAAACAAATGTTTAATAATCTCATTGGCACAGCTTTTGTTTAAGAAAAGTATTTTACAGCCACAAAAATACCCATTAAGTGATCTGGCTCTGATTCTTGGAAAGAAATCCACAGGCTGTTGGAGCTGCTCCTGCTTGTTGAAGCCAACATCAAAGATGGAGCAGCTATGAGCAACAGCTGAGGCTGGCTTGAAATCAGAGGAGAGCAATTTGTATAGAGAGGTCTGTGAGTCACTTTACTGCTTACTAACTTAAACAAACACCCTTCTCTGTCATCACAGAGCCCTGTGGAAACCAGGGTCATTCCTGCCTCTGTGCCCTGGGCCAGAACCACTGGAGTGGCCCTGGGTCAGATGCTGCTGGAGATGTGGTTGGTTGTCTGGGGAGGATAAAGGTGTAGGAGGGGGAGGGTGGTGCTGGGGAAGGAATTCAACCAAAGAGCAGCCTCACACTGAGATATTCAGAGAAATGGGAAGTTCCTCTCTTCAGAATGAGACATTTGGGCCAGGCCTCAGGCTGACAGGGATTCAGAATGCCTGCACACTTCCAGTTCTGCACCATCCCACAGAGATGCTCCAACTCTCCTCAGGCTCCTGAGCCTCCCTCCATGCTGAGGGCTCATGTGCTCCTTCAGTGAGCAGAGCATCCCTAGTCATGCTGTCCTGAGTTCCCAGAGGAGTGTGGGTGGTGGGTTCCTCTTCAGCCAGTGGTCTCTCTCTTTAGGGAGATGTGGCAATGCACTTTCCCCCCATCTTTCCAGCAGAATCTCCTTATCTGCTTTCTCTATAGGACAGTGAGCCCCAGCCAGTCTGAGACCCAAGTGATGGGCTATTCAGTCTCCTCTAACTTGAGTTCCTGGCTTCAAACTGCCTCATCCCACATGGTGAAAGAGGCTCTACCCGGTGCAGTGGAAGCAGCTTCAGCCCTGGCTCTGTCTCTTGCTGCTGTGCCACCTTTGGAGAGTCCCTGAGCTCTCTCAGCCTCACTGTCTTCATCTGTACTAGGGGACGATGACAGTGCTTTAGAGAGTCAGATAAAATACCTAAACGAAAAGCCTGGCCATAGAGGATGCTCAATGGACACTAATTCTTTCTCACTGAGAATAAATTAAATAATATGAAAATTATATAATACTGAGTCACTGAGAAAGAGGAAGAAACTGGATAGCTGGACTTGGTGAGCATACATCAGATGAACATGGGTTAACAATTTAGTTATGAAACTGTTGACACATGACGTAGGAAGCTTCTGTCTGCTGTGGAAATGGGTGGGGGCAGGGAACTGCTCCCCAGAAGCGGCTGGATGTATCTACCTCATTTACCGACACTCTGGTGCCTGGATAGCGAAATGGCGTGAGGGGAGGTGGCATTGAGGAGAGGAGAGAAGGATCATGATGGACACAACGTGGTCCGAACAAACAAAATCAGAATGTACCAGAGAATATTCCCCGAGTCACGCAGCTCTTGATTCAAAGCCCACTTAGGTCAACTCGAGACATTTAGGTCAACTGCACCTCTTTTGGTTCAGTGATTGCATTACAGCAGATCAGAAGTAGCAAATGTGCAGGTGAGGGGAGCTCCCTTGTGCTGGGGAGAGGGCACTACAGGAATGTGGATGAGGCTCTGTTCACACACCCTGCTCCCCGGAGGCTCTGTCCACAAGTCCCGCTCCCAGGAACTTTGGGGCAGGCGGCAGTAGGAGGGGTGACCAATGGGCAGTGTCCCGAGCGGTGGGGGTAGTGGGTGGAGAGAAATCTCACCCTTACCGGGTCAGAACAAATCGCTGCTCTACAGCCCCCTGGCCTCTGTAGAGCCACTCCCGGCATCACTGCAGCCCCTGGGGGCACCAGTGCCTCTTCTAACTGCAGGCCTGGAGGCCCCTCTTTGTTTTTGTTGTTGCTGTGCTTTCCAGGTGGCCAGAGTAGAGCATGGTGTGGACCCTCGCTGCTCAAGGTGTAGTCTGGGACTGGGAGCATCTCTTGGGAGCCTAGAGATACAGGTTTGCAGGCAACGCCCAGACACAGTGACTCAGGATCTGCATTTAGTGTGGCCCACAGGTACATGCAAGATGAAGTTCAGAATGTGCTGGTGTGGCCTTGGCCAGGCCTGCTCCTCTGCTCGTGCTGCCAGCATTGCTGCTCTCCCAGGGCAAGGTAAGCTTCTCACTTCTGACAGTGGACATTGTTTGAAGAGCAAGCGCCTTTGGTGTCGAGGGAGATGAGCTCTCTGGGACTCCCCTTTTCTTTGCCCACAGCTTATGTCCCTGGCAGGTTTTGACAGGCAGATGCTCCATGAAGAGGCTGCAGGCTGTACATGTGGCCTGTAAGCAAATCAAGGGAAGCATCCTCTCACCCTGCGTTCTCCTCATTGCTCCCACAAGTGGACACAAGTTGGCTTCAGCTGATCCCAGCCTGTGGGTGAAGTTGCTGAGGATGGTGCAGCAGAGAGACTGAGAGAACCTGGGCCTTGGGGCCAGCACTGTCCCTGAGCCACTCTCCCTGGGGAGATCCTGAGGTGAGTTACTACATGGTAGCAGCTTGAGTCAGGGTTTCTGCTACTGGCAGCCCAAAGGGTTCTAAATGAAACATACTTACTGATAAAAGCATAAAAAATGGATTGAAAGGACCAACGAGACCTATGAGG